TGAAAGAAAAGAACTACCAAATGGCAGAGTGAAATATATAGTTTGTTTTCCTGTAGGCCTGTCCTCTAAGCATAAACAAATACGCTGTAGTGAAGACTCTGGCTCAGGCTACAGAAAAGAAACTGAGCAGAGGAGAGATGGGAAGTAGCAGTATAAGAGGAGAAATAGGTTGGGGCTGCCTTTTCTCCTGAGATAGATTTATTTGATATCAAGGCAGTAGGAATGGCTCAAAACAAAATGGGACGGTGAAAAGTATCTTCATAGTGTCAGCTGAAGGGGGAAATCTACTCTCCCGATCCTAAAACCTTTCCGTCTAAAATTCCCATTGGAGAGGGTATAGAATTGAGCCCATTTGTGACTTTTCCCTCAGGCCCTGTTAGACGGGCTTTTATTCAATGTGATTTCAGTCCAGATCATAATAAAGTTGCTCTGTTCCCCATGAAGCTCACATTATGGATGTACAGCCATCATGGTCTATGGACTGCTTAGTTTTTCCTGTAAAAACAGAAATCCTTGTACGGCTGGGAGCTTGTGAAAACAAGCCTGAAGCTACCAGAGTTTTTAGCTTTACAGTATAAACGAGAAACTAAATTCTCCACTGCAAAACATATATGCACCTATATATGCTCAAGGTTTTGACAATGAGACTCATTCATGCAGAAGAAGACACTTTCCAGGTGAATATTTCCTTGTTCTGGCGTCACACACCAAGTAATGTAATTAAAGAGCGTTTATGAAATGTTCGGGACTGTGCTGCTGGGAATCCTGAATAGACGGGAAACTAGGCTGGTGTGTGTTTGTGGTGTCCCCTAGATGAGCGAGGTGATCTGCGGGCCAAGGGAGAGGTGAGGTGCTGACAACGGAAACTTTTTCGGAGCCAGAGTTTAGGCTCTGAAGGGAGCGACACGGGGGCAATTTTGTCTGGCATAATGTTCGCCTTGAGGTTGCAAAGATTTATCGTTCCTGGTAGCCGGTGCTGCGCTGCTGATCGGCACCCCCGGGACCGAGCCCCGCCGACGGGTGCCGTTTAAAAAGGCGGCGAAACGGGCGCTGGAGAGGAGGCGGCCGGGCCGGGCCGGGCCGGGGCTGCCCGCGGGCGGCGGGGCTGGGGGAGCCGGGAGCCCCCTCCGCGCTGCCCTGCCCACCGGCACACCGAGCTCCCGCGCCTCGGGACAACGGGAAAACGCCTCCCTCTTCCTGCCTTTTAACAGATTAAATCTGATGAATTTTCACTGAGGATAGAATATTTTTATTTTCCGCGGTACGGTTTGTTAATTCTCGTGGGCGCCGGGGTGCGGGACAGTCCCTCCCACGCCGGCTGTACACGGAACCGTATTCTGCGGTGGTTGTAACGGGAATAAATACCCCACGATCCTAAAGAGTAGTAGTATTTGGGGCGAGAAGGGGCG